CAAGTCTAGGACTCGAACTTTAGTTGGCCATGTAGGACCTTAACTCCCATGCCACCCACTCCACTACACCAATATATAATTTCTTGTAAGTACAGATTTCCTGACTGTAGCCATCAGAGATGTCTGATTAAAGAGGGGTAACAGTGATATAACAGTTCTTGATAGAAAGGTTAGGGAAGAAGACATTAACAAAAAGAATTTGGGTGACCTCTAGAAACTGGAAAAGCCATGGAAACAGATTATTCCCTAGAGCCTCCAGAAAGGAATGCAGTCTTGATAATACCTGATTTGAGACTGGAGAGGCCCATGACAGATTCTTGACCTACAGAACTCAAAGACAATGTGTGTGTGTGTTGTTCCAGACACCAAGCTTGTGATAGATAATGTGTTACAGTAGCAACAGAAAACTAACAAAAATGCTGAGAATTTCATTTCTGTTTGCCAGCCCTTACTAGTTAGAAATATAAAAAGGCTTTTTTATCAAAACTTTAATGAAAGGATAATAAGTCAGTTTAATTTTATTTTTACAGACAAAACACATTCTAGAAGATATTTTAGAGTCTACTCCTCACTCAAATGTATAGTGCTTTTATGATGTTGTAACTCAAAGTTAATGACTTTCTCTCTCCAACTAAGATTGTAAACACCCTATTTTTGCCTATATGCTACAAATCTTTTCTATGGGTGAAAATAGTACATTCCCTGTCACTTTCCTTAATTTACTGAGGTTTTAGTCAATGAATGTATAGAATTTTTCCATGCTATTTCTCTTAATTATCAGAACAATCTAATACCATTTAAAATATCTACAATAGTAGGATATCTGAGTTACAAAGCTGATGGACTGAGACCTGGTTATCCTCATTTAGGTTCAATAAGACAGACTCTGAGACAAGGATTTGGGTGTACTTTATTTTGAGGGTGAGGATATTGTCAGGAACAGTGAATGAGTAAAGAAAGAAGGGAGAAAAGCTTACTAGCTTTCCTAAGTATTTTCATAATAGAGCTACTGCTAAAAGCAACAAAGCCAAAACCCCACTGAGAACTCTTGAATGACTGAACATACCTCTAAATTATCCCATAAAGAAGAAAAGAACACAATGTGTTTATCCACCAACTCCTATCCTTTAATGGTTAGGAATTGCTCTCAAAGAGAACTGATCCACACTGTACAAGGACACACCATGGGCAAAAGACCTGCTTAAGGATAGAGAGCTACATAAAGCAGCTGCATGTAGGGGAACTCTCTACTAGGAATTTCTGAGCTAAGCCATGAGAATATGAGTGATGCACTCACTACTGTGTCTGCTATAATGAGTATGGCAAAGGTATGTAATGATAAAAATGTGCTATACATGACTTTCCTAGTCATAAAAAATAGATAATGCCTAAAAGTGTGAAAACTAAACTTGAGCTTGATGAAGTTATAATCTCCACCCGATAGCAGACAAATTGATGTAGTCACTACTGTCTTTTCTTAGAAATTTCAGTGACTTGGTCAATTCAGATTTAATATTGTGTCACATGGAACTGGGCTTTTTTATGTCATTTTGTTTGCAATTCATTAATTTTAAAAATAGGGGACAATTTTAATTGTCTCTACACTAAGAATTCTTCTTTAAGTATTTTAATAGGTACTGAGATGTCACTAATTCTTTGAACCCATTTAATTTTTGTAAGCTTTTAATGAACTATGAAAGCAAAAGAAGAGATTTTTTTTTTGCTCATTATTTGGCTAACTCAATGAAATCTCCCAAATCAAAACAATTTATATTATTTCTTTTCTTGGTGGTTGATATTCTCAAGTCAAAGGCTGGAGAAGAGCTGCTATGAAATATGGAAAAAGGGACTTCCTCTAAATCCAAAGACTCAAGTTCATCATCAATTTTTGTCACATATTACTCTGTGGCTTTGGAATGATCACTTCCTGTGCTGAAACTTTAGTGTTTACATCAGCATCATTCTCCATTAATAGGTCAAGGACGAGTCACTAAGAATAAAAGAATTTCTTTACACTGTAAACTTGTGACCATTCAATTTGCTCACTTTCTCTCTTTCCCACCAACTTCCTATCCCCAAGTGGTCCCAAGAGCTGTTTTCAGAACATATTATTAAGATTCTGAACATCTTTTTTGCCTTTCTCTACCTTTTTTGTCTGTTTCTGTGCCTGTCCCACCGAACTGAGAGGTTGGCATTTGAGCTAAAACCTCCCTTCAGAGAACACCAAAGGGCAATTTCTAACTAATTTGATCGTTGCTTTTAGTATGCTAATGGGAAAATTCAGTTTTACTTCAATAATAAGCTATCTTGGGGCAGGGCAGTAGTACAGCAGTAATTCAAGTGGAGTCACATGAGAAGGTTTCGGGTTCATATTCCAGGGTGTCCTTGTACGTACCAGACTGGTGGATGCTGGAGATGGATCATGGCATGAAGAACCCGTTGGGGGTGCCTCTTTCTCTTTCACTCACTCATGGAATAAAGAGACTCAAAACATAGTAATAATGTGGTATCTTGAGTAGAAGATGTGTAAGTGCTATCAACCCTTAGTTCTATGAGGATAGAGACTATGTATGTTTTGTTCTTTATTGTATACAAGTGCTTAACAAATAATCTAACACATAGTACTTATTTTACTTTTATTGAATTTAATGGTTGATCTGAAATGTATTTAGTTGCTTAGAAACACAAAGTCTTGCTCAACTCTTCATCTGCTTTTGTGTGGATCTAATCCTTAAACCTAAATCTACCACTCACTCAAAAAGAACTCGACATTTATTTTGACTGGTGATGTTAGCGAGAAGTAAGCCACTTCTGAGTCAATATCCCAGCAATACCTGACACTGGCATATTAAAATGACTTTGTTCAAACAACAATGCACATATTTCAGTAAATGTAGGAAAGTAAAGAAGAATAGTTTCAAGAATATGAGTATACAGTAGGTATTTCTTGGAGTTATATGCATGGTTGTCTAACTCTGGCAGTTTCAATGAGAAATAAAATGTGAAACAGATTTCACCTGTATTCTTAAAAATGTTTCTTTATATATGGCTTATGTTCCCTTGTAAAAAGGAAATAAAAAAGAAAAAAAGGAGGAGGAAGGATTGGAGAAAAGAGTAAAGAAGAACTGTGACAGAGAAAAGGGAAGGAGAAAGAAAGGTAATGGAGAAAGAGAACTATCTAATTTAATTAGTTTTATCTCAAAATATTTTTTTCAAAAAATAGCTTTGTGTGAGGCAATAGAGCTCAATCAAAGTACTACTGTGTCTTCAACTTATCTTTCTAAGTAGTACAAGGCAGTGAGGTGAACAGTAATCACCACTCCCTTCTACCTCTTTATTTCTCTGTTTCATAAATCTTAGAAGAAAATATATTAACACCGATTTAGCTCCCAATTGCCACTGTCACAGCTGTGAAAACACCAGTGAAAAGCTGGCTGTACTGAGATAGCAAAGGTGAGGAGAGAGAAAATAAAAATTCTGAGCTTGACACACAAGCCAGGCTAGATACTGTTAGCATTAACTCTACCTCATCATGTGGCCCAAGACCTTGTTTTTTTCTGCCAACCATCTTTGGGATGGGACAGACAAATGGAGAGCCTCATACGCGAATCATGAATAGAAGCATTATCCTCACTTTCTCTGGAAGCCACATCATTATGAAAGGGAAACAAACCATGTCAAGAGAGCAGAGAACCAGGAAATGAGGCTCTGACAGCAGGGGTCATTTTCTGACTTTATTATTTTGTTTTTTTATTTGTAGGTTGGTGGTTTCTGTCTAGTGATCAGAAATAGATTTCTTTTCTAAATGACTGATGTTAAAGCAGTCTTGATTCAGGAAAACCATGAGGATGGACTTGGGAAGACTCCCAGAAACTATAAATGATTGACATTCACCAGTCTTCTTGTTCCAGTGCCATTGAATGGTAACAGGAAGAAACAGACCTCTGGTGATTTTTGCAGTGAGGTAGGGAGAGTTATGTGTAAACTAGACATATTTGGGGACTGGGAACCTAGTGTCGCTATCTGCTTCAACACCTATGTCAATAACAAACCCAAGAAACAGTATTGATTTCCTACTGCCTTATTAAATATTAGCTCATCAAAACTATTTTGTCTCATTTTACAAGTAGAAAACTGAAGCAAAAAGGGGGTACATGGCTCACCCAAGGTCGTATGACAAAGATAACACAATCATAATGAGAAATAAAATACTATCTCCTAGACTTCAAAGAGAGAGATTTTTACTATAGGGTGTGTGTGCTCACCAGAGAGACAGAGACAGAAAGCAAGAAATCACCCCCCAGGGGGATGCCCTGTCACAATCCCTTCTTCTCCAGTCTCGTCTTGGTATTTTGGGCATGCACGCATGTTCACGCACCCAGCATGAGTTTTAAGCCGTTGGATCTGGGACTCAAACCACAGCCAACATCGGAGTTCAGTGACCATTACTCCAATTCTCCAATTTCTGTTTTCCTTATTGGAATTCTTAATTGGTTAGTATCCTTAATTATTCTACACTGGTTTTAATGTAAGATATTTATTTTATATTTTGAAAGTTTTTAAAACTAATTTTTTATTATAAACTATAGATCACATAAAATTTGCCATTTTAACCATTTTTAAGGATACAGTTTAGTGGCATGAAGTACAGTCACAGGGTTGTGTAATGATCCATCACCGTAACTTTTTCATCTGCCCCAGCTGATCCTCTGTACCCATTAAACAGTAACTTCCCATTGTCCCTCCAGCCCCTGACCATCACCTCTGAATGTTATTTTGTAACCAAAAGAAATCTTGACTTTTGAGCTTGGTTTATATCCAAAAAATGTAATTGCATGCAGAAGGAAGGGGGCAGATGGAAGAGGTAAATGCAAAATGAACTCTATTTAGAGGACTCTGTGTGAATGTATTGTGTGCGTACGTCTTTAAAAGACTCTCCACCTCCCAGCTCTGCCCGCCTCCTCACAGTTGGCCACTGGGTTTTTCTGTCCCCAGGTTTCTTCAGTGCCCTGGAGAAACCAGCAGGGCAATCTTCTTTGTAGTTTTGGAAGCATGTGTGTTGCCATGGAGTCCACATTCTGACTGAAGTTGAGGAGTATAAAGGTAAACATTTGTTTTTAGTTTCAAAGATCTGGCAAAAAGATAGTCTCTTCTTCTGGAAAAGCCTGACCGGTAAGATTCCTCTAAGGGCTTAGCCTCAAAGTGCTTTATACCATTCCCTTGCTTACGTGAAAACTAAAGCTAGCCAAGGAAAACTTCTGAAGGAAAACCTTGTGGGGGTTCCATCACTTCAAGCAAATGGCTAATCCTGGAGGTGGTGCTGTTTGCAATGGAATTCTTCACGATCACCAGAAACAGAGCAACGGCTCACAGAGGCAGAGCGGAAACTGCACAAAGAATGGAATAGTGAAAGAAGCCCAGGTAAGAAGAAATCTCCCACTCCTTTCCCGAAAGACCTGAACATTTGGGTATTTCTTTGTAAAGCTGCTTGAGATTGCCCTCACTGAAAGCTCCTCTTCTGAGGTGTTCTATGTCTTTTGACATTTTTCTTTAGCTAGTGGCACATACTTGAGTACCAAAAGTTTAAGGTTGGGTGCAAATTGAGAGCCTTTCTTCACTGTACAAAAAAGAAAAAAAAAAAAAAAAAAAAAAGGATACGCACAGACCTACATGGCCTTAAATTTCCTAAAATATAAACATACCTTCTAGATTTTCTTCTCTCAAGGGGGGTAGAATTGTGAAGGCTCAAACTCTTCAATTCACTTTCAGTCTATCAAGAGACATCCATCATGCTTCAAAAGAAAAAAAACGAAATGAAAGTAAATTTTGCTGAGATTATGTGAGGCCATTGGCATTTTCCCTGGTACCTGAGAAATGCCTCTCTGGCTGAAAAACAAGTTCTTTTTGGTGTTCAGTGGAGCGTTGCCATAGCTCAAGACTTGATTGAAAGCCAGAGGGCTTCTTTGAAATTTGGTATCACAGACTGTTCTTTTCCAAAGCACTTCAGAAAGTGTGGCTTGTGATGACTCACTACACTGAGAAACCAAAACGGCATCTTTAGAACAGTCTTTCGGATGTTTCTGCATTTCTTTTGCTCCTGTCATGACCAAATGTTGGAGGGGATACACTAAGAAAGAGTAGGAACTCAAGAAATGTCAACTTAGTCCAAGAGGGAGACTGAGTCTATGAGATACTTGCATAATGGTGGTTCCCTACTTCCCACATGACGCCCTGTCTGTCTACTCTCAGCAACAGGGGTGAGCTCATCTGCCTCAAGAGCCAACTGAAGTAGCTAAACAGGTAGCCTCACTATTGGGAAACATGAGGCTGCCCAGGGAACCTCGTGCAATCCTCCATCACTTGATCATCAAGGAGAGCCAGCATCTACCCAGAGGAAAGATCAGATTGTTCTAAGATCAAAGATAGGTGGGGCCACCTGGGCCAGTCCTCCACTCAATGATCTAATAGATTCCTGGGTCCAGGTAGAAGAGGCAGAGGGCACTCTAGAACCTGGGTTGTGTGTAAAATGGCTGTGGTCCTCAGAATGCACTCCCCTTATAACAAAAGGTGTTACGGCAAGTGTCTACCACAAACCTCAGACCTGGCCTTTCCCAGCTGAGTATCTGGAACCTGGAGCAATGTGAAGAAAAAGTGCCCCACACCCATCATTTGCACAAGGGAAATCACACTTATTATCCACCATCTCTTCATCACTTAATGTCGATTCAGACCACTGCCCATGACATTCTTTGCCTCTAAAATGTCTGTAATTCACTGGCTCCTCCCTACTAACCTGGTGGATCATGTTGACCCTGAAGGCTTTCATTTGGGCAGAGATGCCTTCAAAACTTTTCTTCCACTATTTTTTAACTTTATTTTGATTTTATAACCACATTCTTGTGTTTGAAGTTAGAAACTTAAATAGTTGCAACTGCTCCTGAGTAAGGAAGGACCCAGAATCCTAAACTTGTTTACGAGGTTCATATACTAAACTATAAAAGTCCTTGAATATTGAGGCTTTCCTGGGAGTAGCTGAAAAAAATCAGGGTTCTGTTGCCTTTTCTGACAGCTATTTCTGATGGGCCATTCAGTTTCTGTTGGCTCAGATATATTTAGGTGTTACTAAGTTGAAATTGGCTTCCACTGGGAGCCTCAATTATGGTTTAAAAAATATTTTCCAAAAAGAATAAACTCTACTGAGATCACAGCATAATAGGTCTATTTTTCCTTCCACATGCTGTGAATAAAGTTGTCTTCACTATCATGATCCTCAGCCATTAAAATTCTCCATTTTGCTTTGGGGCTATGTAAAATCAGGTCTTGACTAAAAGTCTTGCCTGTTGATACTAGCAATCCCTAAAGGCGTGTAGAGAGTTGAGGCTAGTGTCACTCCAAATATGCTCTGCCTGGCCTAAGCTCCTATGATACAACATCGAAAATCCTACCAGAGCCTCCAAAGATCCTCTCACCCTTCTCTTCCTGCTTATTTGCAAACACATAGTGATACAGTTGTCTCTTCTATGTATTAGGGGACCATGTATGATTCTGTTGACAAAAGGTTCTCTGGCCTAACAGATAATATGAAAATCGCTATTAGGCAGTTGCTCAGAAATACTCGCTCCCTTGTTTCAATGTAGCCTGGTTTCAACACTCTAGCTCTGACAAGCAGGCTCGCTACCCCAAACTCAGTGCTGGGGCAAAGAGCCAGAACTATTTTATTTGGAAACCTTCTAGATTGGTTTTTTTTTTTTTTTTCAGTTTAAACCATGTTGCCTGGTTTTTGTTTATTTTTGTTTTCTTCAAATTCAAGGTGCCCTGAGGATGCACTAATACTGGTTTTCATCATGGATTAAGTCCTTTTATTTGTTAATTTCTAATATGTCATCCTACCTTTTACTTCTAACAGAACATTATTGTCCTAGAGATTTGTTCTCCCATCTCATGAGCACATCCCTATAACAGCAGAGCCCTTAATCCATAAACTTGATATTCCCTATAATTTTCTATTGGCTTCCCATAATTAATTTGGAATTATTAATCACATAATTGCTTTTTAGTTCCTAGTTATTTTTTACTTGACCATACATCTTTATTAGGAAAGACTGACCTTAGGAAAATATAATTTATGTCTCTATTACTCTTAATACTGCATATCCCTGGAGGGTTTTTTGTTTTGTTTTGTTTTGAAATAGAATGACATATACATTTTCTTCTATTAAATTGATCTTGCATAAAGAAGGGAAATTTTGGGGATAGGGGTTAATCATTTTTTTTCTTAGAAAACAGGTATTGAAGTTAAAATAGTTCTAATTCAGTGTTTATTGAGTTCTTGACTTGAATATTATAGCATTACCAGGTATAGGGTTGTAAGCCCTAAGAGGTAGTTCATTCATTCACTCATTCACCAATATTCAATAAGAGTTTGTTATCCTTGGGACATCAGAATATAAATAAGTTTATAAGTTAACTATTAAAAGAAACCTCATATTAAAATTGAAACAAAACAGTAAAGCTAAGTGATAGTACAAGGACAAGAGTTGTCATAAAGCAGATATAATTAGAGAACAAGTGGGTGCCATGGTTATTAAGTACCAGAAGTTTGGAGAAGAGGAGAGAAATTATGCCACATGTCAGTGTTCTGCTATATCAGGACTGTATGAAGCCCTTTATGTAGAAGTGTCTTGCATGTTTACTGCAGTTCTCTGAAGTGGTAGCCTCAGGCCCATAATACAGAGAAGAAACTTAAGTCATTAAAAAAACTTGTGCAGGGGACTAGCAGATGGCTTAATGGTTACGTCACTGGACTTGCACGTAGTCAACTGAGTTCAAGTCCCGGACCCGGAGGCTTGAAAACTCACACCAGGCACATGTGCATGCGTGCCCAAAATCCTAAGAGAAGATTGGAATGAGAAGGGATTGCAGCATGGCCATCACCCCCCGGGGCGGAGGGCGGTGATTTCTCACTTTCTGTCTCTGTGTCTCCTGGTGAGCACATGCACCCTATAGCAAAAGAAAAATCACTCTTAAAGAAAAAAAAAAAAAAGTGCAGAATTGCAAGCAACATGATCAGGGCTTAAACCCAAACCCAAATCTATGTTGTTCTGAAACTGATTTCCTTTCCACTACTTTTTAGAAAACCATAGATTGAAGTGGCCAGTGGCGGCTTTAATAGAATTTGCACTGAATCTTGAGACATTGGAAATGGCCAACAAAATGGAGAATATTCCTTAGGACCCAGTAAGAAAAAGAAGGGAAAGGAGCTCCAGATAGGACTGTAGGAGTTGCTAGGTAAAGAGCATAGAAGCTGTCATAAAGTATTCCAGGAAGAAGGGAAATAGTTACAAAGGCTGTGAGGCACAGCACATCATAGGACTTTCAAGAAACTTTTGTCAATTCGGTGTAGTATCAGTGTGGAGAGAGGAGGAAGGCTATGGCCCAGGTAGTGTTCTGTAGATGCTAGATGAAGGGAAAGGACTAACTCAGATAATTATGGAAATTCTTTCTAGTGTTAGAGCCATTTAAGCCAAGCTTCCTATTTTCTGTACCTTTTCATAGCCTCTTGAGGTCCATAATGTCCTAGTACATCTACTCTTCTGTTGTAGTATAAACTTCTAGAGTGAGAACTGTGACTAATAGTTTAATTGTGTACAGTGGCAACTACCTGACAGGCCATTATAAATACTAATGTCTGTGAGCTCATGTAGGCTGCATGCTGATCGAAACAGAGGTAGATATTTTCACCAGTCATTAGGAAACTTTGTAAGTTAGCAGGAGTTTAAGAACCCTCCCAGTTGTCCAGAACTTTCATCCTACTCTTATCTTACTCAGTCATTTTCTAACACATTTTGTTTCTTGGTTCTCATTTCCTTAAAACAATCCCCCATGTGAAAAGGCTTCTCTGTGATCTCCCTGAGGAGCCCTCAATTTTTCATGGGCTCTCATTGTAAAGTATTCCTGTGTGTCGTGTGCTACAGATGAAATATTCTCTGTTCATTTATAAGTAATGCACAGTCTAAATTGGAAAGAAACAACTAAACAAGTCATTATACTATTTAATGGTATGAATTATACTAGAGATTAAACCATCTGTTTCAACGAGGCAACATCCCAAAACATAATGGGTTAAACAACAGCTATTGGATTGCTCAAGATTTCTTTAGGCCAGGAAGTTAGACTTGGCTTGTTAAGATGGCATCTCTCTGTTCCCTATGATGTTTGCTGTAGATCCACTTGCCTGAGTATCTAACATGTCCAAGACTTTGGTGCTAGCCGTGATTCAGGCACCTGTGTTTCCTTCACAAGGACACCCTCTCCATGTAATCACTCATTGTTATGTAGAATAACCCAAGCTCCTATATGGGATGGCTGACATTCTAAATGAGCAAAAATGGAAAATGCAAGATCTCTTGTGTCCCAGGCAT